AATAGCAGTCCAACAACATTTGGGCCCCTGGGGTGCCCACAGCTCTTTACTACAAACTAACCGTTCATATTTATTAGTATACTCTGAGCAAGATTTGTGCTTCAAAGGAACAGTCAGCAACAAAAGCAGAATTGTTTGTGGGAGTCACTGATTGTATGGAAGCATTTCTGTTCAGTTATTGAAATGGCTTTGCAGCTTCCTACACTTTCTTTGAAGTGACTTGATCTACCTTCTGAAGTTTAATTCCAGTTCTTTGACTTCATTATACCAATAATCCCACACTCGGATTTAACAAGCACCCACACATGCTAAACATTTGACCTGATGTAACCCTAATGAATGAATGGCTGAATAAAGTGGGGCCTTGGGAATGCAGGACCAAGGGAGACGGAGACCTTCAAGCGTGGCACCCTCTGGGTTTCCTGGGCCTTGATGGCAGAGGCCAGGCAGGGTGGGAGGAATTTGCATGCAAAAATGCCTCTTGCTGCACCTTCTCTTTACAGTTTCAGCTAGGCAAACTCCTACCTTGTTGTAGCAAGATGGGCAATGAAGAGGCTTTACGATCCCATGGATCCTGGCCTTGCCTCCCCTCTGCCCCCCCCAATCCCTCCACTCTAGCTTCTCATATGTTGCAGTGGCAACTGAGGTGGAACAGCAGGGGAACAGTTTGTTCTCAGGTACCCTTTCCTGAGGTCCTTACAGTACCTGCAGCATCCGGAGGGGGATTTGCTACATCCTGTATCCCCTGAGATGCTTTCCCAGGGTCTATAAAATTGCTCTGCTCAGCTCCCAAGAAGGAAAGAGTATGTGCCTGGGGCTTCATGTGGCCAGTATGAAGCTGATTGGTGGGAGTTTAGGACAGAGGAAAGGAAGTTTTATCTGTCTTCACACTGCGTATCGTTAAATTATAGGATTCATTGCCACTGGGAGTGATGATGGCTGCCAGTCCAGATGGTTTTAAAAAGGATTGGATGGAGTCATGAGGACTCCATGCCATCAAGTGGCTCCTAGCCTTGCTGGCTGTGTGCTGGCCTCCTTTACCAGAAGTGGCTGCCTGCATCCACCAATTGGGAGGAGCTTGGGCAGGAGAAAGAACTTGCACCCATCCTGCTCCAGCGATCCTCTGTGCTGCTGGTTTGCCACTGTATGTATGGAGTGCTGGAATGGATGAATCCAGGTCTCTTCCAGCTTAGCTTGTCTTATGTTCTTAGTAGTTTCCATCTCCTGGGAGAATGAGGAGGTTTTTCTGAGACAAATACATTCTGGACACAGCCCTTTTCCCATATACACATTCCTATGATCCAGTGTTTCTGACTGAACTCTGCAATTACATTTCTACATTTGTGAAGTTAGATCATTGCCCATTCTGGAACTTCTCTACCATGCTCTGAATTATGCAACCTTCTGCTCTTTTTAATTAATATAATATCCAGCCTGAAGAGGAATCCTAAAAGCTTGCAATTTTTTGATTGATCCTTTTGATATGATGATGACAATAATGATGATGATTCTAATTAATCATCATGACTGCAAATACAGATAGACAAATTTGCTTTAAAGCTTTATTTTTATGGCCTTTTGTATTATAAAATCATTAACTGATCTGCAGCATTTTAGGCCACAAGCCTGAACATTTAATCAACCACAAGAATCAGAAAGTGCTTACAATTTCTAGCTTTTTGTAAACATGTTTCTGAACACAGCAGTGCCAAATGGTACTGCCTGTGATACAACTGCCAGCTTTTCTCCAGCAGCATCTGCCACATAACAAGAAGCCACAGTGAGTGGATTTCCTTGCAGAGCTTCTTGTGGGGGTGGTCACCATGTGGGATAGAGAGGTCTTCATCTGGGGCATCTTCTAGCTACTTTTCATGTGCAAATCTGGAGATGTTGGACCACTAAGGCACTTGAGAAGTCACACTGAATCCATGGGCTGTGTTAGGGTTGTGGGTGGTTTGTTAACTTCACCAGCAACACACACTCTTGAGCTCCCACCATGCCCTGAATATTCAAAATGGCAGCCCCTAATGTGACAAGAAACCCCATGGAGAAATTATGTCCATGATGGGTAAACCAGGCCATAGTCTCCATACTGACATTACATTCATCTTGCTTTTGTTAATTTACTTTGTTAATTAATGTATTACTTGGCCCAGACTACAGAAAGTTCTGGATGGGTTTTGTTTGCTTTTATTTTAGTGGGGGGGGGGGAAGCTGGGGGATAGTTTTGGTGTCCTTTAGTTTTATTTGCTTCCTTTGCTGGCATATTGCTGGCAACTTGGATGGATTTAAAGTAGCAGCGCAACCACTTTTTCTCTGTGTATGTGACATTTAATCCACATATTTTGGGCCTGTAAATCCTAAAGAGCCCCTGGTTTGGCTTTTCTGTACCTTTCTCTGAATGACCATCGGGTCATTAGCAGTGGTGCAGAAGTAAACGAGCAGGCGCTCATCATGACAGTCAGCGTAGTCTGATGAAATCCAAAAGAGGCTGGCAGCTGTGTTGATCCATAACATCAAAGTAGTTCTAGCGGTTTCCATCTCCATCAGGAGCAGCTCAAGCTAAGCAGACTTAATTGCCCATTCAAGACCAAGCCGCTGTAAGATACTTTCCATTGCAATATGGACAACACACAATTTATTATTGCTGGGAAAATTCCCTTCCCCTCAACACACACACACATAGCCAAGCTACTGAGAAAAGTGCAGCAAAGTTCAGAGGGGGGCACACAAGTGAGAAGGGAGCTGATAATGTTAGTGTGCACACTAATAAAAAGTGTGCATCGCTGGCTGCGACATCCCTGTGAGCAGCAAAGCAGGTCGGAACGTGTGCCTCGTGAACCGAACGTGGAATGTGCCTGAACTCCACCAGCTCACACTGTGCCTGAATAGATCTGCGCAGATTTGTCTGCTGACAGCGTGGTTGCACTTGCAGCTGTCATGTGCCTTTGTTTATTGCAATCTGTGGTTTTGTTTCTGAAACATGATAGTTTGCTTGGTAAGAGGAAATAAAAGCTGAGTTTTGGATAGACAAGGAAGTGTGGGGCACATTATGATGTCTGAATGTGGAACAGAAAGAAGGATGTAGCTTCAACAGCAGTACTTCTTTGGAAATAGAAATGCAAAAAATCCTTGCTCAGGCTAGCTTGATGGTTCACAACAATTAAAATAATACAATCTAAAACACACAGCGACAAAGAAGGTGTGTTGCTCGCTACAGAAACATTGTTTTTAAGACATTGGCAAGTCAAATCAATTTATTAATCAAGGAGCCAATTTGTTCATTCATTGGGATGGTACAATGACAGCCCAGGCTTTAAAGGCTCGAAGCAACTTCAGGAAGGGTGGAGATTTAGATCTGGAAAATGGTACTAGAGAGAAAAGGCAGCCCTTCCCCCAGAACTGTTGCTCTCACTGATACCGGACCCCCTCACCTGATTTTAAATCAGAAGATTCCCTATCAAACGATTCAACCATAGATTGCTCATATCATATCATATTTATTTTGCTCTGAATACATTTTGAAGCAATATACAGTTTAACTGGAAGGGTGCTAGAATCATGAACATCAGTTGTCTTAGATGTTCTTTCTCTCTCTGTCCTGTATACTCATCACCATTCATTGCAAAAACAAAGGTTTCTAGGTTTGCCAACTGATCAGAAAATACAACCCTGATCTTTCTTTGAAAGTAGGTTGATATGCAATAATGTGGAATCAGACTGATTTTGTAACTATAATTAAATATCAGGAAGACCATCTCCTAGGATGAATTTATAAACTATTGCTTAAATATGATACTGAAATGCAACAAATAAAAATATGTATAAAGAGTTGGATATAAAATTTTGAAGAAGAAACACAGTCTTGTCAATGGGGAAGGTTATGGAAGAATGATATAAAATTCACTACAAGTCAAGCATTAAAAGAAAACTGGTATAAGATGCATTTTCAGTGGTATATTACCCAGAAAGATATACAGAAAATGGGCAGGAATGGAAATGGAAGTGTAAAGAGATAGATGGAGCTTTTTATCATATGTGGTAGACATGGAATAGAATGGAAAGATTTTGGAAGCAGATACTGACAGTAATGCAGAAAATACTTAAAACTGATTTTCCAATGAATACCAAGAATTTGTTATTGAGTATTGTACCAGAGACTATCCCAAAGAGTTATTTAAATATATGATAACAGTGGCATAATAATTGCTTCACAGTAGAAGCTGAAGAATGCTTAGCTACTGAAGAATGGAAAAACAAGCTAGCTGATTACGCAATGATGGCAAAATTAACAAATTATGTTAAAAGAAGGCCTGTTAAAGAATATCTGCAATGATGGAAAGTTTATTATAGGCAATTTAATTAATTGTAAAAGAAAATATAATTTTTATATTTGTCAGTGATCGCTATTTTAAAGCAAAGCAATGTTGTAGCTAATTTTATAGACTGGACAAATTTTGATTGAGAATTGAATGGCTTGGATGGAACTATGGCCGATGGAGATTTTTGCTTTTTTATGAATGTGTTTAAATGATCATTTTACATGCTATAATTGTGGATTGACCCTTGCCACCTTCTTTTCCTACATTTCCATTATTCTTCCCATTGCACTTGTGAAAATAAATTTTAAAAGATTTGAAAAAAATGCAGATATCAGCAGGTGCTGTTTTCTCCATCTTTTGTTATTGTCTCTACATCAGACTGCTACTAAATAGGCACGGCTGCAGTGACTAATTGAAAAACGGCATATGTACCTACCATACTGGCTGCTGGAACATTTGGTAGCTTCTTTCGCTCTCTCTCTTTTTAAGTTTAAATTGTTTTAGCCTCATGCCTTAATCCTGCTTTAAAGGAACTACTTTGCCTCTGGATATAGACAATATTCTTCACAAGCGTGAAAATAGTACGTGGGAGATGTCAGTTTTGTTTCTGCTTTGCATTCTTTTCTGCCTTTTGCAGAAGTAACTTTTTCTTCAGCGGCTTTTCCTTTCTGTGGCCAGCCTCCGTCAGAGTCCTGTCAAGAAACAGATTCTTTCCCAACTGGGAGCATCAAGACCCATGATGTCCTACATCCTTCCACCTGTGGCAGGCGGAGGATCCATGAGTGAGGTCAAGAAGGTCACGCCTGCCAAACACAGCCAGAAGCCCTGCAGTAGAGAGTCAGTGATGGAGTCGCCACAGGCTCCTAGAAGGCTCAGTGTCAAATGTCTCAACTCTTTTCAAGGAAAGATTACTGAAGCCAACTGGAGGACTCAGAAGGACACAGACCCATCTCACCCAGGCCTCGAGACACATTCTGGAAGCAGCAGAAACCAGGTAGTTAACTAACAAGGTTGTTATTGAGGAGGTCCTTATGGTGTATACCTGTTAAGATCTGCTGTTGGGGTTCTCCAACTGTGGTGTGTGGGCCACTGGTGGTCCACAGAAAAGTTGCAGGACAGATGGAAATATCTGTACTTGGCCCTGATTTATTTTTTCTGTAGATTGCAAGGTGGTGGAGTGCTGACCAAGGTCATATTATTAAGCAGGGTTACAAAGCCCTGTTGCAGAACTGCTGATTTTCATAAACTGCCAATAGTTTGGATGATAATGACAGGCTGAAAAGAAAATTGTTATTACATTGTGAATTCTGTATCTGCTTTGGCTTGAAAAAAAATGAAGTTTTTAAAGTAGAGCATTGAAGTCCTCATCTCCAGCAATTTTCCTGTGGTCTATGGAAAAAAGTAAGTTTGAGAACACTGTAGGTTGATGCTACCCCAGCAGTCATGCAGAAAAGTCAGCAACTGTTTTAAACTGGATACATTTTCTATTTGGGCGAGGTAGTTTTGACTTCTTGTTCTGTTATCAAAGGGCACTGACTTGGCATGAAAAGGAAGGTGTGTGTAGAACTGTTTTACTCTGGAAACTTTTGTGCACTGTTAAAACGTACCCATGGATTATTCAGTAAAATATTTATCATTTGTGTGAAGCAAACTTCTCCACAAAATTCTAGTTCTGATCATTGTTTTTTCTGGCTTTCCTACCAATTATTTGAGATCTATGAAACATGAAATATGTTATGGTCCACATGCTGAGAACTCTTACTCTGGAGAAGTACTTTGGTTTTCTTTCAGAATGTATTTTCCAGAACAACAAAAGGCATATTTGTTGAAGTCCAAATGCACCAAATTCATTCTTAATTAGCGATTTCAGCCCCCCTCCCCCCAGTTTGAAGTGTCCTCAAAGCTAGATCTGTCCCATTGGATTCACCTCCACTGTTAATGAAGTGTATATGATCAAAAGCATATCTTTGCATGTTATACACACAGGAACCTGAGGAGAAAAAAATTGCATTGGAGCTCCTGGAAACAGAGCAGGCCTATGTCACCCGCCTTCATCTTCTGGATCAGGTTGGTCAGCACAAGCATCTCAGCTTTCTGATGTACTCTGCCAAAAAGCTTAGATACTCACCTGGTTATTAGTTTACTTAATGGCAATGCATGAAGATATAATGAAAATCCCCCAGGGGTTTCCTGCACCACTGTTGGCATCTTTTGTTCTCAGGTCTCAGAAGCTAGTGAGCAACTGATTCTGTAAACTCTAGAAATGGTGCAATTCTGGCAGAATGAACACTGAATCTTACTGGTGTTCTCTCATGAAACATTTCCCCTGCTTCACTGTCCAACCTGCCAGTATCTGACTTCCTCTTTCCACACCCTGTGTCATGCATGCACATTCTGGCAAACCTCAGGGGCGCACACGAGAGGCTAACTGTTTTGATGGGACTGGCAGCTCAGAATCTGAGAATGGGATGTGTGCAGGGGAAGCTGCTGTTCTGGCCGGAAAGATCGCTCAGACTCTGATAACGAGATGATTGTTGAAATGGACCCAGTTCCAGCTGCAGTCCAAGGCCCTGGGTACCCACCTGTGCCTGCTGGGGGGGAGATTAGTTCAAGGGCAGCCAAGGGGGCCAGTCAACATGCCCGTCGGAAGGGGAAAGAACAACAACATCTCGAGGAGGAGATTTAGAGATGGAGAGTTATCGGATGGGGAACTCCCACCTCCTGAGGAGATGAACCCAACTGTCCAACCCAGCAACCAACCCACCATGACCTATTCACATGATGTCTCAGGGAGCTGTGCAAACCTACCCAGAGAATGGGAACATGTGTGGCCTGGAGAGCTATATAAAAACACTGATGCTTGCTGAGCGTTGACCAGTTGCATCACTGAAGGCTATCAATTCCATCAGGTTGGAGTAGAGGGAGAAGTGGGTTGCTCCATTGGCTCTGCTGTGAGCTTAGCTGACACCCCTCACTCCCCCTTCCCTTACCAGAACTACTGTGCAATTCTAAGAACTGGTGACTGAGTTTGCTTGTTTCCTCTTCTCTCCGCATTCCTGTTTCCTTTTAGGTTGTTTCTTGCAGATCGTAATCTCCCCTCCTTTCCTGTAAGCAGGAACAGTCTTCTTCCATTGGTTTCATTTAAGCCTCTTTGGGAGTCTTTTTGGCTGAACAGCACAGCAAAAATGTTTTTAATAAACAAGTAATTTCATGCTGCTTTAGTGGCTGTGAATGTTCCCTTCCAGGTTTTTTTCTTAGAGCTATTGAAAGAAGCCAGAAGTGCCAAAACGTTTCCAGAAGAAGTGGTGAAAATGATTTTCTCCAACATCTCATCCATTTATCAGTTTCATGCTCAGTTTTTCTTGCCAGAGCTGCAGAAACGTATGGAGAACTGGTGAGTTATAGAAGCTCTCTCTTCCCATGCTTGCCCACTGTGCCCCTCAAAAGGAAGGAATTTTTAAAAGCTAAGAGTCTGTAGGTTTTGAAATTCAAACTCAATCTGAGAAGTTGAGTCACTCCGTGTAGGCCTTGTCCCACCACAAAATAGATTATGATTTAGGTTGTGTGGTTCTACAGAGGCAAAAGACTAATAGGTATAAAGCAACATGTTTCTTTTAATTGATTCTATTGTGGGGAGCGGCAAGGATGTCATTTCAGCAAATAGTTACTGTTATACATCCTGCTTTACGTATCCTGCTTCACGTATATATACTGTTATCTTCCATTGTTATCCAACCCATGTGCTTTCTTGAGAAAATTCTCCATAAAGACAACCATCCACAGCAGCAACAAAAGAAAGATTCATCTGGCACCAATCCTGCTATCATTTAGGTACCACCCAACCCAGAGATATTAATAGATTTGACTGGTATAGGCTTAAGTGCTATATCTACCGTATTTTTCGCTCTATAAGACGCACAGACATTTCCCCTTACTTTTGAGGGGGGAAAAGTGCATCTTATAGAGTGAAAAATACGGTAATTACAGTGGTACCTCAGCTCACGAATGCCTCAGTTCACGACCAAATCAGGTCGCGAACAGAAATTTCTGAAAAATTTTGCCGCAGGTTGTGAGCTCCACGTCAGGTGACGATTGTGAGCGTGGCCGTCTCCCTCCCACCCCCCCGACTGTACCCACAATCGCACCTGTCTTCCTGTTACAGAACTGATTAACCTTATTTACATTGACCCTTATGGGGAAATTTGACTTGGCTCACGACCAATTTGGGTCATGACCAGAGTCCCAGAATGGATTAAGTTTGTGAGCCAAGGTTCCACTGTACTTACCTGGAAGTGTGTATCCCATGAACTCAACAGGCATACCTCTGAAAGTGTGTGCACATGTGTGTGTGTGTGGGGGGGGGGGAATTGCACAGTTTATTGAACAAGTTTAAATCCATGTAGTAGTTTTAAGGTTTTATTTGCTATTTTCTTGTTTTTGTATATTTGTTTTTATGCTGTTCGTTGCCTTGATACACAGTGGCTACCATAGAAATGTTTCAGAACAACAAATAGATCATCAATCATTCAATAGTAACTTGTTACCAATTTGCCTGGCTGAGAAAGGCACCATCTGAAGACATTTGTTTAACTTACTACTTTAATTTAGTGTGTTTATTCTTATTATGGAAGACTAAGGTGCCTCTTTTACTGAAGGGACAACTAGTATTGGCTGTACTCTGATATATGTGACAATAAAAATATGCCTATTGGGAGCTGAACTGCAACCAACAGATGCTCTTGCAAATGTCAGAAAATGATGCTAGTGATGCTTGCTAAACATGGCTGCAGACTGAGACACATGAGCGTTTCCCAGTTTCCCTAGTCTATTTTGGCTGCCTTTGCAGAGTTGGAATCAGCAGACCTGTTCTCTTGGCATTCTGACCACAGGGATTCCAATCCCAGGATTGGGGACATTATCCAGAAGGTAGCTCCTTTCCTGAAGATGTACAGTGAGTACGTGAAGCACTTTGATAAGGCTGTGGAGCTGATCACCACGTGGTCCGAAAAGTCATTGCCGTTCCAAGAACTCATCGCAAACATTCAGGTGATATGATCTGGGGCTTGTTACGCCGTAACAACAGGGGAGGCAAACCAGAGTATGGGTCCATACATGTAAATGTAGGCCTTTGGCATTTTGGTGACCTGGGCAGTTTTGGTGCAAGGTTTCAGAGGGCCCTTGGGCAATGGATCCTCTCCTTCTCAAGAGACTCTCTCCTCACTGCCATCGTTTCAATGAAAGTAGCTCCTCACTTTGGTTCTTGCTATCGCTACCGCTTGTGTGCTCGACAGACAGAGAGCCAGGGAGCCAAGTAGGCAGGAGCATTGTCTGCCTTTCACACTTCCACTCTTTTCACTCCTGTGAATGCGGCAGGAGAATTTTGGAGAAATTTTGAGAAGTTTGGACATTTTTCAGGTTGCAGGACTTCAGTGTTGATTTTAGTGTAAAGCCTAAGAGGTTTGTGTGTACTTTGCTTTAATATAAGTCCTTGCAGTCCCTGTGGCTGATGGAGTTTTTTTTTAAAAGCCCCCTAAAATATTTAGCCAAGACCTCCCCTTGAGTCTTTCCAGTGCAGCAGCCTGCTGAATGCTTGACAGCTGGCCTCCTCCTCCTCCTCCTCCTCCAGAATTTTCACACAAAAACATCAAAACAGAAATGCCTCATTCAGCTTTCAGGTACACAAAGACCTGGGTATACAGAAACCCCACACTCTGAAGTATTTCTCTGAAATGCTCACCATTTCCTACAATTTTCAGGTGCATTTTTTCACTCCTCTCCCCAATGAATGGTCCAAAATAAGTAGATTGGAACGTTTGGCACAATGCTAGGGACTTGAGTTCAGGAGGCTCTTGCCAGTTTCAGTCACCTTTGCTATTATGTGGGCCCCTGATAGGTAACTGACCTTGTCTACTCTTGAAGTCAGCCTTGGACCTAGAGAAATCATCAAAGTGATGTCCAGGCTTTCTTTGTGCATTAGTCTGGTCTTATAGCTGATGGTCTTTGAGCCAGCTGGTCTCTTCTGGGATGTTTGGCTCCTTGTTTCTGGTGTGCATCTTGGTGAGAGCCAGCCTCAACATCTCTAGAGGTTATTTCTGCACATTTCCCATGCCCTACCTGCCATGTCTCATCCTTCCATCCTTCCTCCAACTGCTGCTGCTGGGATTTCTCTTTCGGGGGATTTCTCTTTTGGGGGATGGTTTAATTGGTCCACCTGCCGTGCCGTGCTGCGCTGTCGCCATCCCTGCTGCTGCCGGCGGACTGGGGCGTACCGCCGAGATGGGGGCCAGCTGACGCTGCTCCTGCAGCCATCACTGGACCACCCCGGGCACGGAGGACACCAGGGCCACGCCAGGCTTGGCGCTCCCTCCCCCCCCCCGGACATCGGCCGCATTCTGCGGCTCGGTCTACCCCACCGCCGAGGGAATGGGGAGCTTTTGATCGTTTTTATAATTTGATTGTATTTTAATCTGTTTTAATTTGTTTTTATGGAGTCGTCCCTGGCCATGTCGACGTTTGTGTTTCCTGGGGAGCATGGGGCGCCGCCATTGGGGTGGTCATGGGCAATGGATGTAACAGTGGGGGGGGGGGGCTTAACGTGTCCGCGCAGAAGAAGGAGGGACAGAGGAACACCTGTCCCTCCTCCAGGTTTTGCCCCCAGCCAGAGGGTGCCAGGTAGTCTTGTCAACCGCCCCTCGGGCCTGACAGTGCTGCTGCTCAATGCCAGGTCAGTCCACAATAAATCTTCCCACATCCATGACTTGATTGTGGATGAGGGGGCCGACCTGGCTTGCATAATGGAAACCTGGGCGGGAGAGCGGGGGGATGTCGCCCTCTCTCAACTGTGCCCACCCGGGTATCTGGTTCAGCACTGTTCACGCCCGGAGGGGAGGGGAGGGGGGGTCGCTTTGGTTTACCGAGCCTCCAACTCTCTCACGGGACTTCCGGTCCCTTCGAGACCAGGGCTGGAGTGCCTCTACTTGGTGTTGGGCGATCGAGACAGATTGGGGATTCTGTTGGTGTACCGCGCACCCTTCTGCCCAACAGTCTCCCTGCCTGAGCTGAAGGAGACTGTCTCGGACCTGGTGTTGAGGACCCCCAGGATGTTGGTCCTGGGGGACTTCAATCTCCCTGCTGAGACTGGTCTGACCGGGGCGGCTCAGGACTTCATGGCCTCCATGACGGCCATGGGGCTGTCTCAACGTGTCACCGGCACGACCCATGAACGTGGACGCACTCTGGACCTGGTTTTCTTGATAGGGCAGGAAGAGGGTGGTCTGAGGGTGAGGAATTTATGTTTGACACCCCTGTCATGGTCAGATCACTTCTTGGTGAGGTTTGTGCTCAAGAGCAGCCTCTCCCTCTGTAAGGGTGCGGACCCGATTGTATGGGTCCGCCCCTGGAGCCGGATGGATCTGGATGGATTCCTGAAGGCCCTGGGGGAGTTTCCGGCTGACAAGACTGGTGCTCCTGTTGAGGCTCTGGTCGAACTGTGGAACAGCGAGATGACCAGGGCTGTTGACACGATCGCTCCTAAGCGTCCTCTCCCGCCGGGCAGAGCCCACTCTTCCCCCTGGTATACACCTGAATTGCAGGTGATGAAGCAGGCTGGGAGACAGCTAGTGTAGGTGGAGGAGATCACGGGATGAATCTGACCGAACACACTTGAGAGCCCATTATCAGGCCTATGCTGTGGCGGTGAGGGCGGCGAAAAAGAATTTCTTTTCCGTTTCCATTGCCTCCTCAAAATGCCGCCTGGCAGAGCTTTTTCGAGTGGTGCAAGGCCTGGTTCGTCCAGGTCCTAAGAAAGATCAGGTTCCACCCTCGAAGGCCAGCTGTGACAACTTTGCCAAGCATTTCAGGGAGAAAATCGCTCAGATTCGTCACGAGCTAGACTCTACTAGTGACTCAGAGGTTTCTGGGGAGACACCAATGCTGCTGTCTGGTCCAAAATTAATGGATGAATTTCAGTTATTGCTGCCTGATGATGTGGACAAGGTGCTTGGATAAGTACGTCCCACCACTTGCCTATTGGACCCTTGCCCATCTTGGTTAATAAATAATTCCAAGCACGGGATTGGGATCTGGATCTTGGAAGTGGTTAATGCCTCTCTGAGAGAGGGTCGGGTACCTGCCCCTTTAAAGGAGGCGGTAGTCTGACCGGTCCTGAAGAAAGTGTCACTGGATCCAGAGATGGCCACTAATTATAGACCAGTGGCCAACATCCCGTTTCTGGGCAAGGTGTTAGAGCGGGTGGTGGCAGGACAACTCCAAGCTCTCTTGGATAAAACTGATTATCTGGACCCATTTCACTCCGGCTTCAGACCCGGGTATGGTACTGAATCTGCCTTGGTCGCCCTGTACGATGACCTGTGCAGGGAGAAGGACAGGGGGAGTGCATCCCTGTTGATTCTTCTGGACCTCTCAGCGGCTTTCGATACCATTGACCATGGTATCCTTCTGGATAGGCTAGCGGGATTGGGAGTTGCAGGCACTGCTTTGCAGTGGTTCCACTCCTATCTCAATGACCAATTTCAGAAGTTGGTGCTGGGGGACTATGGCTCTGCACCATGGCAGCTATGCCATGGAGTACCGCAGGGGTCCATTTTGTCCCCTTTGCTGTTTAACATCTACATGAAACCGCTGGGAGAGGTCATCAGGAGGTGTGGGCTGCGGAATCATCAATACCCTGATGATACCCAGCTCTACTTCTCGTTTTCCACCAATCCAGGTGAGGCAGTGGCTGTGCTGAACTGGTGCCTGGCCGAGGTAATGGGCTGGATGAGGGCCAATAAACTGAAGCTCAATCCAGACAAGACTGAGGTCCTGTTGGTTGGCGGATCGGGCTTCGGAGAGGGTGAATTGAACCTAGTCCTGAATGGGGTTGCACTCCCTCTTAGGGACAAGGTCCGCAGCCTGGGAGTGCTCCTCGACCCAGAGCTTTCATTGGAAGCTCAGGTGACAGCAGTGGCGAGGAGTGCTTTCCTTCAGCTTCGGCTGATTCATCAGCTGCGCCCCTACCTGGAGTACAACTGCCTGGCGACAGTGACACATGCGTTGGTGACTTCCCGCCTTGACTTCTGTAACGCGCTCTACGTGGGGCTACCCTTGAATATGGTCCGGATACTTCAATTGGTTCAAAATAGATCTGCCAGGCTGCTGACAGGGACTGGGTGTTATGTTCACATGACTCCAGTCCTCCGTCAGCTTCACTGGCTTCCCATTGAAGTCCGGGCCCAATTCAAGGTGTTTGTGATGATCTATAAAGCCCTAAACGGCTTGGGTCCTGGTTACCCGAAGGAGCGCTTATGTCCATATATGCCCGCCCGCCCCTTGAGATCTGTGGGAGAGGCCCTTCTCCGGGAACCCTCTGTGAAGGAAATTAGGAGGGTAAGTACTCGGAGGAGGGTTTTCTCTGCGGTGGCAACCAATCTATGGAATGCGCTCCCCAGAGAGGTCCGCCTGGCGCTGTCGTTATTTGTTTTTCGGCGCCAGGCGAAGACCTTTTTATTCAAATGTCATTTTAATTGCTAATATCATTTGCTTATTTTATTCTTTGGCCAGGGCGACTTATTTTATATTGTTAATTCGTTTTATATTTTTAGTGAATTATATTTTAATTGATGTTTTGTGAGCCTCCCCGAGGCTTCGGAGAATGGGGCGGCATAGAAATTTTCTAAATAAATAAATAAATAAAACCTCCCCTGCTGTTCCAGAGCTAGGTGTAGAAAGACTTGCACGCCTAGTGGGTGATTTCCACCTGTTATACCAGAGAACCTAATAGAATTGCCTTCTTCAACCTGGTACCCTCCATATGTGCAGGGATAGAGTTGCCCTCATCCCCAGTTGACAAATCCAGTGCTAAGAAGGATGGACACTGCAGTCCTACACAACTGGGGGACCCCAGGTCAGTGAAGACTGCAATAGACCTTGGGTTGGTAGGTGGTGCAGCCAGCTATACTATGCAAGTATGGATGCAAAGCCTTTATTGCCATGGTTTTTTTCTCCTTCTGGTACTCTTGTGGCCCTGAACAGAGACGGGAAATTTCTGCCAACCTAACCTTGCAGCATCACATGCTGGAGCCAGTACAGAGAATTCCTAGATATGAACTCCTTCTGAAGGATTACATTCGAAAGCTGCCTGTGGAGTCACCAGACAGAGAGGATGCACAGAGTAAGAATCCTGTTTGGTTCTTTCTAGGGCTGGGTGCAAGAAGAAGGTCGAAGGAGAAGCTGTAAAACTACAGTGGCACTCACATATCTGCCCACTAGTCTTGAAACCCAGTATAATGCTGCCTTTTTGCATGCTTTCAATATATAATTTCTCTTCCAAGCTTGTCCATCCATCCTCTGGCTCCATGCTGTACAATTATAGTAGCTTCTACAAGAGTTGGGGGTGGAGCAAGAAGTATCAATACTAGTGTTACTGTATGTCAAAGGTGCCCACCAGATGTCATGGAATTCCTTCTTTGCAATCCCTGGTGTGAGATGCAGCCCAAAACTTTTGGAGAGCACCAAGTTTAGGTTTTTGCCTCTTCAAGAACTGCAAAGAAAGGAAGGAAGGAAGGAAGGAAGGAAGGAAGGAAGGAAGGAAGGAAGGAAGGAAGGAAGATGTGCCATTAGTGTATCACACAGCATTTATAAGAAACTCCCTGGTACTTGCTAAATAGGATACTAGCTCACCTGTATAAGTTTTAACATTAGAATTATGGACTGTGCTGTCATAGCAGCTTTCAAGAAAACTATGTGTCTGAAGGGCTTTCAAATGCTGGTGATAGAAGAAAGGTTTAATGTTTCTTCTCTGGTGTTTTGTAGAAGCTCTGGAGATGATTTTCACGGCAGCCAAACATTCTAACACTGCCATTGCAGAAATGGTGAGTGCCACCAACCCCATGTAAGTGCCTAGGCCTCCTCCCCTACAGCCAGAGATCTTTGTTACTGAGTGATTGTTCCCTGTCTTCATAACTTTGGTGGTTTTACAGGAGCGACTCCAGAACCTTTGGGAAGTGTATCACCGGCTGGGGCTTGAAGATGACATTGTTGACCCTTCAAATGAGCTTATTAAAGAGGGACCCATCCAGAAAATCTCTTTCCGGCACAATAGCACAAGAGAGAAATACCTGTTCTTGGTGAGGGATTCATAAAATCTGGGATGATGGAACAGCAGGAGAGTATCAACTGGTTATTGAGCATCTATCAGTCTTAATTTGCACGACACAGAGAAAGGTCACTATTACGATACAAAAGAAGGAAGAAATATGAAAACGCTATTTGCGTAGGCTATGATAATTGTGTGCAGAAAAGGGCTTCTGATCAGGTGACTGGGCTTCCTTCCATCCAAGGAAAGACAATAATGATTGGACTTTCCACTTTGCAGAGAGCTGATTGTGGATGCTATCAAGGTTCAGGCTACCTCTGCACTCATATCTGGGAGTAAATCTCAATGAACCTAGGGAAACGTATGTCTGATTAAGTATGCAGTGCATCACACTGTAAATTATAGAGCATGTGTATAGAGATTCCCCCACTTCTTCTCTGATAATATTAGAACTTATACTTACTTAGAAATCTGGTATGTCTGCTCTCCACTCATTGCTCATCTAATGGGCCTCTTGCCTCTGCTGGTACCAAGCTATGGATTCCAGCTCTGAGGGGAGGGGTTGATCCATGTCTTGGAGTTCCTCATTCCCTGCAGTCCCTCCCACTGGCTGTCTATTCAAGCTGTTCTCAGGAATGGTCTGGTGTGGTGAAGCAGAAGATCTTGAGACAAGCATTCCCACCCCTGGTTGTATCCCAGGACTTTGAGTCAACACAAGCTCCCCAGTCTCGCCAAGACTTTCCTCCTCTGAATCTGAATAAGCATCCCTAACATGGTGGCATCCTATAGGAATGCTTTCCCAGGTCCCGTTACTCCCAACAGGCTGTTAGACAAGATGGCCCTGAGTAGCCTCCAGGTTTAAATTAAGTGGTAAAGAACAACAGTGGCATCCAGTCTTTGTTTGCTTCCTGGAGGAAGCCAAGTCCTGGATCAGATGGGTCATTTGTCCAATGCACCAACACAATTGTTACATTCTCATGATCTTGCCTTGACAATATGTTTGCTCTGAATTTACACACTAAGGCACACTTGTGATCTGCACACAAGAATTTACACACTTGTGATCTGCCAAGGTGAACACAGCGCATCTGTCTTGCATGGCAGTGGGCAAGGTGCTAATAAGCCTATCATGATGGCATCCCTTGTGGGCTGCCTGTGGACTAGCACATCTACAAACACTTCTCCTGCCACCCATTAGGCTCTCCGGCCTCTCCTGATTTTTACTTGGAGGAGGAGGAGGAGGTGGGAGCCGGCATGCGACTAAGTCCCATTCTAGCGTGTCATGTTGCTTAGGTTTCAAGGCGTAGTTTTGTGTTTTGGAGCTCATATCCCACCTCTGCCTTGTACTTAGGTTCTTGGGTAAGTTACTTTTGTTTTAGTCATGTCAGTTTGTCTTCTAGCAAGCACCTGTTGTTCGACTGGCTGTGTCCATCACTGGAGACTTTTATTAATGGGCAGTCCTGGACCTCATGGCAGCCATTTTGTGAGCCTTCACAGCATTGTCTCAAAATGCCAAATGTGCCCATCAACTCAAGCAAGCTATAATGTGCAGGCCAGCACTCAGATAACCATAAATTGCCTTATCTATATTTTTTAATATGGTAGCATTTTCTCATGCTTCTGGTTTGATGCTGTATCAAACACTTAGGAGAGTGGGAGAGAGGTATTCATTATTGCTCCAATAGTCAGTACAGGTACTTGTAAGAACATAACATAAAGATCCTATTTGGACATAATGGAGGCAAATTGTGGGTTAATTAACCCATAACTTGTGGGGATGCATGCTGTGCTTGAGCTGGTCATGAGCTGCTTCCTGTTTTCACTGACAGCCCTTGAATGTTTCCTTCATAGATTGTTTCTGTGATGTCCAAGCAGGAGCACTTGAGTTGTCCATAGATTAAACAACCCTGAATTAACCCAAGCAAATGCCATGGCTTCACTTGAGATGGTCTACCTGAGAAACAACCCAAAGTGTCCCTGTTCTTTTGTCATGGAAAGAACCCTCAGAGGGACATTGGAGGTTTGCTAATGGAAACAGGAAGCAGCTTATGCACAGTTGGGTTTGGGATGGTGCATGTCCGCAGAATTCCTGGATTAATTAACCCATTTGCTTCTGGGTACCACTGGATGGGACCACAGAGATGCACTTGTTGTGTTGTGCCTTGACCAGTTATTTATAATAATGCCTTCTTATATCTTTTCGTTTGGAGTGCTTCACTTGTTGAGGTCCCCAGCCTTGAGAGAGGGGGATGTGGTTATCTTACTGTCTGATTTACTTGATTCTTTTCTTGTCATTTTACTTGGCAAGATTCATAACGAGTGTCACCGTTCTTTTCTCCCTCAGTTCAATAACCTGCTGCTGTACTGTGTGCCAAAGGTCATTCAAGTGGGTGCAGAGTTTCAGGTGCACAGCCGGATTGATGTGGAGGGCATGAAGGTCAGAGGGTATAATATCTTATTCACTTGCAGTAAATTAGGGAGAAATAAGTTCTTTTGCATTCAGTGGGACCCCATAGAAGTGAACATAGAATTGCAGCTGGGCAGAATTACTGGAAGAGAACTGGGGAATGGAGGAGAATCAGTGGTGAAAGAAGCATCCAATCCCAAACTCAGCCAGGTGTGCCCTGGCAGGACAGAAGGGCTGGAGGGGGAAACAAGCAGCTGATTCTAGGACTGGTGTACTCCCTGCTCCCCCATTCAGGAGGTCTGTCAGAAGAGTGAGAGGGATTTAGATCCAGTAGATCCCAATCTTTCCTGGAGCAATGTATCCTTTTGTTGTTACTGTTGTTGTAATTGCAACAGTGGCAGAGGCTTCCATGCTACCCAGGAGGGATTTTTCCAGGGCACACTCTGTCCATGTGCAGAGCTCTTATTTCACAGATGGAGAGGAGGGGCTTCTTTACATGAAGCATGCATTGGGCCCTTGTTATCCCTCACCTGTGGAAGTTAAAGGAGCTTTTGTAGCATCCCACAGGGCCTTTCTCGTGTTTAGCAGCCATTTTTGTAGAGGTTTCCCCTTTTTGTAGTTATTATTCCCTATCACTCTGGGAATTGCTGCAGACTAGTTGTGTGTTTTTCACAAATGCTATACCACAGCTCCACCTTGTGGTTGTGGAATAGAATGCACAGGATGGCAGAGAAAGCGCTTACCCTACATGTAAAGGATACACTCTCCAACCTACAAAACTTTTTTTAAAAGGGAAAAAGAAGACTCCGTAGAGCCTCAGCCGTGTTTCAGGTTAAAAGCCTCCTATAGAGAAACCTGAAAATCCCCATGATCCAGTGGCTCAAGACACACTCAACAACTTCAGCCTTATTCTACTCGTGTCCTTCCTCTATTCTACCTCTGTCTTTCCCTGTGATTTATCACTTAAGGAAAAATGCATGGCTTAGTCCTACTCAGATCTGGATCCATTGAAATGAATGGGACTGTCTAACTTAATTCTGAATCATTTTAAAGGATCTACTCTAGGTTGAACCATTATTGGATGCAACCAATAAACAAGATCCAGAATTTCTACAAGTTTTAATTCTCTCTTTAAATTTTGAAAACCATTCCAAGGATGAACGCTAGTGGCCAGAAAGCAGACTTCCTGACTGTCTGAAAGGCCAGTCAGTCAAAATGGAGAAAGCCCCTTTATCGCAAGCAAGATGAATAGTTTTTCACTAATGCAGTGAGTGTGCTTCCACACTAGGCTTACCGAAAACGGAAAAGAAAAGAGTCTTTTCAGAAAATCTAATATTTGCTCCATGAACTTCCAGGTTCGAGAACTGAATGATGTGGAATTTCCTCATTCCTTTCTTGTGTCAGGGAAGCAGCGAACTCTTGAGTTGCAAGCCAGGTAAGGGAACAACAAATCCTGTCCTTTCTGAGGCTGTTAGCAGAGGAATGTAAAATGCAGAATGCCAGGGTTTTTCCTTCTTAAGGTGTAGACCAATCAAGAACAAGGGGACTTAAGCATTTTCTTTCTGTGCAGGTCCCAGGAGGAGATGAATGCCTGGATAAAGGTAACTCCTTTACCTTTACCTTAAAGTGCAGCCTCTTAAGTTTGGCAAGGGTCCTGGAAAATGAGAAAGCCAAGGTGCTCGGAACAGTGCCAGCTTCCGCATTCCTGAAATAACCTGTAGGTCTCCTAAGCAGACGCAACACAATAGCAACCTTGTATCTTGGGGCTCCAAGGAAAAGGGCCAACTTCCCACATACAATAAGCAGGGCAGTAAAAACATAGTTTTTAATCTAGTTACTTTGTAGTATGGGACAGGCCAGAGCAATATGTGGTGTTCCCAGGTGGAGGGTGCTTAACACTACCAGTCCAAGGCAGTGGTGCACCTGCTGACTTGTCTTTCCCTTCTAAGCAGGTTTTCTGTGTCATGGAGAAACAGTGGGAAACATAGGCAACTTACAAAAGGAATACAATTATGGTCACATACTGCCTGCCTCCTCCTATAGAATTCAATGAAATCGTCATCTGGAAGCAGTGGCCGGGTTAGATCTGGGCTCTGTCATACTTAAAGAGCAGGCCCATTGAGTTCAATGTGACTTAAGTCAGTCTTTGCAAGTTTAACTGCCATTGGTTTCAATGGGCTTATGTTATATATGGCATGGCCTGGATCCTACCTGTTCTCTGGTGGCATTCGTATTCTTTCAGTGCCCTGATGCCTTGCATTGCCATGAGGCTTCATCCCACTTTATCCATGTGGCTAGTGGGAAACAGGAGCCATTTCCTCTCATATTGGTCCATTCATTCAGGCTTAGATTTGAGGTGCATGATCTTTCCTGTAGCTTCCACTTGCTCACCCTTTGTGTGGTAGCACCAGAACAAGTCCGGGGGTTAAAGGTATGCACATCAGATGAGTGGGGCAGGCCTGGCTAAGTCAAGTCTAATTCCTCCCCTCCCACAGGCCTTCCAATCTGCCATTGACAAGAAGGAGAAGAGGAGTGAGACCTTCAAGGCAGCAATCCAAGGGCCTGAAGCAGAGACCCAAGACTTCCATGTAACCTACCTGACACTCACTCCCCATGCCTCTGTCTCTTGGAAGCTATTCATCCTCTGTTCTAAGGGTTCTTCCAAAGCTCATCACTCTGTAAAATGGCCTAGTGGGAACATGGAAAACTGAAAGGGTGTGAGGACAAGAGACAGAAGATTGTATGGAGGGATGGGCAGAAACAAGATTATTGTAAGACACTGGCAAATGTATCTAGGCTGTAGTACAGGCTGCTAGCCGGACAAAGGTTCCCGATTAGCATTTGTCACACAACCTTTGGGGGGTTGCCTAGAATAGCCCCTTATTGCCAGAGAGCCCATTCCAAAGGTTTGTTTATTTATTAATTAGTATATTTCAACCTTGCATCACAGCAGTGCCGATCGGAGGAGCTGGGCAAGCGGGCTCCTCTGTGGGTTAGAGACAAGCTGGTAAGCATGTGCATGCGGTGCAAGGATCCATTCAATGTCATCACACGCCGGCGGCACCACTGCCGGGCCTGTGGCTACGTGAGTAAGCCTTCTCCTCCCGTATTGTTTGTGGTTGGGCAGGTGTGGGGCAGACACACGAAAGAGACACAGAGCTCCGCTTGATCTGAAGGGCCGTTCCTGAAGATGGACTAACAGGACGGCTGTGTTTGGGTCCCCCAGATCCGGGCAGTGGAGAGATGGCCCAAACCCCTCCAGGCCCCCACAGCTTTGGCTCCGGCCTTGCTAATGAGGGCTGGCATTTCCTTGTGAAATCTATCCCCAGCAACCCTTTGGTTCCTTTCCTGGAGGCAGGTGGTGTGCGGCCGCTGCTCCGAGTACAAGGCTGAGCTGCAGTACGACAAGAATGGACCCAAGCGCGTCTGCATCGAATGCTACACCTTCCTGACAGGGCGCTTGCTCCCTGATGAGCGGCACGGGAAGCACAGAGGCATCCTGGAGGTGAGGGGAAAGCAAACATTGGGTGCTCCTCCACACTCTTTCTCAGTCTTCTTCCTGCCACAGTCTGGTTTCCTTCCCTGCCTTTGTTTCAGGGATAATTGGGCCACCACTGATCTGGGTTTTGTTATTCCAGTTACTTTATAGTAACAGTTTGGGGTGGATTATTTGGCAGTCAGATTCCACCAGTGCTCCTTAAAGTAAACACATACAGTCCGAAAGGGACATGCATGCTCCTAAATAGGAAGTCAACGTACACGGGGGAGTCAAGGCAAACCATGGTTTCCCAGCGCATCCTCAGGTGCTTCCAGGTGTGAGACTGTCCTTCACACGTTTGGTGCAGGAAACACCAAGTGGTTGCCAAATGCAAGATGCATTTGCACATCATGTTAACCTACCCTGGCAATAAGCCATGGTGGGTTTGTGGCTGCATACATGCACCCACCGTGCACCTACAGACAATCAGACTCACTCCAGTTCCTGGTTCCTGGCTCCCTCCTCCTTGCTTGTTCTGCTGCAAGGGGACACTGGAAGGACCAAGCTGTCTTTCCACTCCCTGCTCCAATCACAAGTCATGTCTGACTTGCTGCAGCTTTGTTTTCCTTTAAACTTTTTCTTCCTTCAACTTATGATCCTCATTTTGGCATCTATGAACAGTCCTTTCAAAGTGCCTGAGCATTACTCAGGAGGGGACATCTGTGGTTGCAAAGCATTTTTATATTTTGTTTCCTCGTTTCGCAAAAAATTGCACAAATTGTATCATTATTACCCGGAGTTGTGCAATTGTGGATGTTTGCAGTTGCATAGCTGTGGGAATGGGGATCCTGGGTTGGGCTCGAGTAGAAGGGATGCATGCTGGCAATGTCCAGAAAATGCCCACTCCTGGACTGGGAGGATCCAGAGAGTTCCTCTTTCCTCTTGGTTATATCTGGTGAAGGGCAAAGTGTCGATGCAACCAAGGTATGAGTGCTCTTAGCTCATGAAGAAGGGGTTGGGTGTTATTCATCCCTTTAGAGACAAGATCTTGACACAAGCGCGCCAAAGGTGCCCACATTTTTGCTCTTGTACCTGAGATTCTACCACTTTGACAAAGATGCCAAAATGTGAGCTACCATCATTTATTGGAATAGTTACTTTTGACAGGTGACAAAGGTCCATTTTTCAAGAGGGATTTCAAATGGGTGGGGGGAAAAATCAGGGAAATATGCAGATTATAAAGGAAAAGGAGCTCAAAGAGAGAGGGAGGATGGGTGGGGGAGTGACTCTGTCCGAGGTCCTGAAGATTAAAAATAGACACTCTGTCCCCATTACATTTACACGAGTTAGTGATGGAATATGATACTTGCAGGTACACCTTTGATTTTACATTCTGCAGTTTACAGCATGCCCTAGAGTTTTGAATGTAATATTTTTGACTGTCTGTATTATCCACTTGAGTGACAAGGTTCTGAACTATTCAATGTTTATTGTATTCCATTCCTTAGACAACTCAGGCCCATAAAAAAGTGAACTCACCCCTGAGTATTTTAGAAAATTGTCTGCAGTAGCTTTATGGTAAATGAAAACCTCTCGACCCAGTATGCTTATGGGATTCAATTTTTCTGTGTGTATCAGCTTGGCCTTTAAGGAGCAAAGTAATTGAGAACGGGCACCTTTTGAGACTGCTTTCCTGTCCGTTTGTGAGGCTACTCACAGCAGCTTCTGAAGCCAGTGTGAAAGGAAATCTCGAGTGACCAACTGTGATGTATTTGCATAATTATATTAAGGTCTTTGTAGTTAGTGTGTTGTGTTTGGGAATGGAAACTCGGGTTCAAATTCTCTCCCTCCATGTTGAAATTTCTTGGCTGGCTCTGAGCAAGTCAGTACCTCTCAACCTAGACTGTCCTGAAGGGCTGGTGTTAGGATTTAATGAGAAGACCTCAGTTCACCATTCTGAGCTTCTTGGAAGACTAGCAAGGCACAAACCTAACAACAATATAACATAAAAGAGACGTAGTCCTTAAAGAACTGTCCTTCTGTAAATGCTATACTTGTGTGCCAAGAAACAAGGACTGGATCTCTTTGTTTTATACCAGGAGTGGGTGGTATGTGACCTCGCCATGGGCTCCATCCAGTCCATTGATCTGAGCCCTCTTGAATGGAAAGGTCACTAGACTGCTGCATCATAGAACTTCAAAGACCAGTATGAAGCCCTGGCAGGCTGAAAAGGGCCCACCATCCTTTACACTGCCTCTCTCAGTATTGCCACTTTTTGCAGTCCTGCCTGGAGGTGGTGCATCTGACCATTTCACCTGGACTTTTCTACTAGGGGGCTTACAAAGCCCTCTCCAAGGCTGCAAATCACCGAGAAGCCAGCAGAAGCCTCTGTTCTGTGGAGCACTAACAAGATGAATTGTGTTGTTCTGTTTTGTTTTTCACTGGCAGAAAGAATCTGCAGAACTCTCTGGGCAGAGCTTGATGTGCAGTTTTCTGCAGCTACTGGACAAGAGTGGAAAGGGGAGCATGAGGGGCTGGTTTGTGATCCCACGAGATGACCCTCTTGTGCTGTATGTTTATGCTGCCCCTCAGGTATGCTGTGACTTGTTCTACCTTGAAAATTCCTGATGAAAGAGGGTCGTAAGGCTTGGAACTGACTTCTTGCTGCTGGCAAGAGTAGCTCAGTCACCTGGCCGCCATTTTCACAATGCTGGATTTGGCTGTGGGAAGGGACAGAAATCTGTCCCTGTGAAAAGAGAAGTTCACGGGGCCAAATAGATGTGGCATGCAGTGAGGGGTTCATTTAAAAGGTAAAGGTTTCCCCTTGACATTAAGTCCAGTCATGCCTGACTCTAGGGGGCAGTGCTCATCTCCGTTTCCTAGTCGAGGGAGCCAGCATTTGTCCGCAGACAGTTTCCGTGCCATGTGGCCGGCATGACTAAACACCGAAGTGCCCGGAACGCTGTTACCTGCCCACCGAAGTGGTACCTTGTTATCTACTTGCATTTGCATGCTTTCCAACTGCAAGGTTGGCAGGAGCTGGGACGGAGCAACGGGAACTCACCCCGTTGTGCAGATTTGAACTGTGACCTTTCGATCAACCAGCCCAGCAGCACAGCAGTTTAAACCACTGCGCCATCTGCAGTGGGGTTCATTTAGATGTCTTCTATTTCTCCCTGCTTGTCTTTCTGCATCCACCAGCATTTCAGGAGAGTTCAAGTTGAAGTAGAAGAGCAAGGCAGGAAAGCAGTTCAGCAAATTTACCTCCAGCTGTTTTTCAGCTTCTCAGAAATTTTTTCCTCTTCTGGGGGAGAATATATGGCAGACTGTACCTTCTCTCCAGGAGGAGAAAAGCAGGGGGAGGGAGAGGTGTCAGGACTGAGGTTGTTGAGGTGATGCAGGAAGAAGGAGCTGAACCAGGGTGTCAGAACTATGGGATGCGCAGGAATGCATCTGAGCCAGGCCAGATCCCAGTGCAGTCTTGGAGAACCCACTGGCCAGTGGGCCAGAGTTGAGAATCCTTCACTGTCAAAACGCTCTGCACAACACTTCCAGCCTATATGTTGGACCAGCACACCTGGTTCTCATGACACAGCAACCCACCATGAGTAATCAAGGGGAGTTTGCTGGGTTGTTCAGGGTTGCTTATTGTTATCTGTGACCCGAGCAGGGTGACTTCCCTGGGAAGTGTTGGGTTGGGCTACAAAGCCACCCTGCAAGAGGGTCAAAAGTCTTTCTATGGTTGGCTATCATGCTAGTGCTGCTGCCATCCTCCCTTTCACCCTGCCATACTCAAATAAATCAAGAAGAAAGGACACAGGAAAGTGCCCTGAATGCATCGGCATTTTAATTTTTATTTTCAGATCTGCACACGTGCACAGATATGAAAGTCTATTCTTAAGAATTTTGTGTAACTTCCCTTCAACATTACTGGGCCGCTATGAAATTTGCATATATTTAACAATCTCATTCTCTGATCTTCCTTGAAATGTGCCCGTGTTTATTTTGACTTTTTCACATGTTTTTCCAATCCCCCTTGGTGCTCTGCCTTGAAATTTGCATATGTTTACTAATCCCCTCATTGCTCTTATAACCCCCATGTATATCTGCAACAAAACTGACAAGCGTAAAGGTCTTGGGGAAACTGAAAATGGCCAGTAGCTACAGGAGAAAGATCTTTTGGGTGGGTGTGCTTAGTTCAGGAAGAGGCAAAACATCTTTTCTTTTAAAAAATGTTTACTAGCAAGAAAACCTTGGAAGGGGATGATGGAATTAATGAGGAAACAGACAAGAGGGGGATATTAGTATGCTTAGCTAAATAGTGCAGAGGCAGTCTTGTGCCCTTTCCCCCTGCCCACCCTGGTAGGGGGGGCGGAATGCATCCATGCTCATAAGAATTTAGGAAATTAACCCCGCTTATTGACCTGGTATGGAGGAGAAGGGCAGAATTTCCTTCCATAGCCAGAAACCCGAATGGACCAATTGTAGGAAGAATGCTGAGGTAGGGGCAGAGGAAACGAGTTCTGCTGAAAGGTGTATGGTATATGAGCCAGGATGCAGGATGCGGGCAGCTGGTAGGAGGGCTGGACCTGGATCAAACCACAGCAGATCACAGAGTGCCAGGTCATCTGCTGGGTTAGCCACCCATCGCAGCTTATTCCCAGGATGGCTTAGCATGACTTGGCCCAAGCTTCTTGCCCTGCCAGTTCCTGGCCTTGAATACAAAAATGGCTGGAGAGGAAGTTGTTATGCAGCCCCTCTCCCTACCATTTCTTTGCTTAAATTATACTTACCTCTTAAGGGTGCTTTGGCTGAAAACCAACCAACCAAAATACAACATGAGAAGAAAGGAACATCTGCCACGGTCAGTTTAGGCCTTAGGCCTAAATTCAGCCCAGTTTTGAAACCCATTGTTAGGGCTGGCCCTACCACTAGGCAGAATGAGGTAATTGCCTCAGGTGGTAGTTTCTGGTGAGCAACAGTAGCCCCCCCCCCCCCGCCACAACATTCTGCCTGAGTCCTTCAAACATTCCCCTCTCCTGGTGTACACATCTTTTTCTATACCCCATTTTTCTGCTCAAATTTGTTCCCTCACAAATGTTTTGCTGCTTCTTGGAGAAAAACTATGGACATCTGTATCTGAGGCTTGTACGATGGAGGACATGGCTTCTTTACCAGGACTGAAATACAAGCCAACTTCCAGAGCAGTTTGCTTTCATAGGTGGGGTGAGGGTTGGGGGAAGCACCAGCTTGTCCTTTGTTTCTCGCAGCAAAATGTCTTGGGCTGGCCCAGCTCATTGTTAAATTCACAACAACCCTGGGGTGAGAGATCTGATTTTGTGGAGCCAGTTTTGGGACATCTGAATAAATCTGTGTCTGAGCCTCTTGTTTCCCACTCTCATCTCTCAGGACGTCAAAGCTCACACCTCCATTCCCCTGCTGGGTTACCAAGTCAAGGAGTTGCCTCAGAGTGACACCCGTCACATCTTTCAGCTGGTACAGTCCAAACAGGTCTATACATTGGTTGCAGAGACTGAGGAACTGAAACAACGGTGGATGAAGGCTATAGCACAGTCAGCCCGTGGAGAGGAGGAGGAAGACTCATTTGATGAACTAGAATAATTGGTGGCACATACTCTGGGCCATCATTTAAACACATGTGGAAGGAAAACAATCCCTCTTTCTTGCCATTAACATTTTTCAACAATAGTTTTCTAGCCATTTGGGCATGTCGTAGTATTTGTGCCTTTCTGACTTCTCTTATGAGCCTGCCAGGTGTCACTATCAAGAGATAGTGTTTTGCTCTGGATTACGATTTGAAAGCCACCAACGTTTGCTGACGTGCTTTGCCATTTACATGGTACCCACCCATGCACAAACACACACAGTATACGTGTACATCCAGTCTTTCTAATTTGTACGTGCTCTCCCTGCTTTCCCAGAGCCCAGTCAGGAAGCTAAGTTCTTATCATGGATGATGCCTTTGTGCTTGCTTAGGCTGCAAAATCCAGGTGCTCCTTTCTTACCCCTCCATGAATGGAAGCAGTAGAACATCCACCTACAGAGATGCTAAAAGCCTCTGGGAACCTTTACAGATGTTGGTGCTTCTGCCCCCTGGAAAACACCTTCTTCCACATGTGGGTGGGTCCTTTGGCTCAGTTCCATCTGTGGCACATAGCTTAGGAATGTGGCCAAGCTGTCCATTGGGCACCATGAGAAAAATGCATTCCAGTCCATGTGATGGGAGCCAACTTTAACAGCTGTTTAAAATGTTTGACTATAGGTAGGGAACCTGTAGGCCTCCAGAAGTTGTGGTACTTCATTTTCCATGAGGTCCATGAGGTTAGCAGCGTCAATGGCCAGGAATGCTGGGAGACATGATCCACAGGTTCCCTGCTCCTGGTTTAGATGCAGTCAAGGAGTTTAGGTCTTCCATTGCATTTTAGCTACGGTTCCTAAAAGGCAGAGGAATTATACCTCTGGCTATCTGGGCATAAAGAGCAGAAGACAGCTAGCAGTGTCAAGCCCTGCTTGGGAGATTCCAGCAGTAGCTGCCTGGCCACTTTTGGAGGCAGAATGCTGCACCAAACAAACCTTGAGAATGGTCTGGAGGTGATACAGTTCTACTGCTGAAACAGCACACCGACTTTTACGTTATCGGGATGCATGATTGCCTGGGAACCTTATCTTCTGAGCTTCCTGAGGAAAAGGAAGGTATACATGAATAAAGAACAATAAATTCCAGTGTTCTTACTCAGCTGTTCTGTCATCAGGGACTTCCAGGTGACTCAGCTTGTTTCCTGGCACTTCTGAGCTAAGTGCATGTTGATTCTTTCCAACAGTCACTCGCTGATTACTTTCTTGTCTTCATGTGAACCTTTTCCTATTTTGTCAGTATGGCTTTGTGTTTATTTGGTAGTGTCCTTATGCACGAATAGTACTGAATAGAGAGAGTTATTGAGCGTACCAATTTAACTCCTGACAGTTACTCAGAATTAACAACAGTGTATATTTAAGGAACAATGAAAGCAAATTCATAGCAAACCAAAGTCTGGGATGGATGCATTAGCAGTCTCCTATGGTTCATCTGTGTTGAACTACAATTCCCATCCAGCATGGCCAAGCGAAATTCATGAATAACAAAAGTTCCTTTTAAAACTAACTTTCCTGAAACCAATAAATTCTAGAGGTTTCTGTATCCATAGACAGTAGCTGTAATATTCTTTTCAGAAGAAGTATCTCTTCATGGATCACTGCCTTGCTGTGGCAAAGGGACTTGTGTAGTGCAATGAAGCTGAGCTATGCCGTAAAGGGACACCCAAGATGGACAGGTCATAGCAGAGAGCTCTGACAAAATGTGATCCACTGGAGAAGGAAATGGCAACCCACTCCAGTATCTTTTCCATGAAAACCCCATGGACAGTACCAAAAGGCAAAAAGATATGATGATGGAAGATAAGCCCCTCAGGTCGGAAGGTGTCCAATATGCTACTGGGGAAGAGCAGAGGGTTAGTACTTTAGGCTTAAATTTAGACTTAAATTGAAGAAAGTAGGGAAAAGCACTAGGCCACTCAGGTATGACCTAAATCATATCCCTGATGAATATACAGTAGAGGTGACAAATAGATTTAAGGAATTAGATCTGATAGACAGAGTGCCTGAAGAGCTATGGATGGAGGTTCGCAACATTGTAGAAGAGGTAGCAACTAAAACCATCCCAAAGAAAAAGAAATGCAAGAAAGCAAAATGGCTGTCTGAGGAAGCTTTACAAATAGCTGAGGAAAGAAGGGAAGCGAAAGGCAAGGGAGAAAGAGAAAGATACACACAACTGAATGCAGAATTCCAGAGAATAGCTAGAAGAGATAATAATGCCTTCTTAAATGAACAGTGCAAAGAAATAGAAGAAAACAATAGAATAGGGAGGACCAGAGATCTCGTCAAGAAAATTGGAGATATGAAGGGAACGTTTCATGCAAAGATGGGCATGATAAAGGACCAAAATGGCAGGGACCTAACAGAGGCAGAAGAGATTAAGAAGAGGTGGTAAGATTACACAAAGGAACTATACAAGAAAGACCTTAACGTCCCTGATAACTACGATGGGGTGGTCACTGACCACAAGCCAGACATCCTGGAATGTGAAGTCAAATGGGTCTTAGGAAGTCTGAGCAACAACAAAGCTAGTGGAGGTGACAGTATTCCAGCTGAGATATTCAAAATCTTAAAAGACAATGCAGTAAAAGTGCTACACTCAATATGCCAGCAAATTTGGAAAACTCAACAGTGGCCACAGGATTGGAAAAGGTCAGTTTACATTCCGATCCCAGAGAAGGGCAATGTCAAAGAATGTTCAAACTACCGCACCATTGCACTCATTTCACATGCTAGCAAAGTTATGTTCAAAATCCTAC